TCACTCCACTAAGCTACCAACTGTCACACTAAATTTGCCAAAAAAGGACACACGTTTTGACGAATGTAATGGAAACAAGTGAGAAGTTGTGATAGGGCGGCAGTGGGATTAGAGGGTAAAGAGTGAATAGATAGGCCATGAAAGGAAGAGGAGTGAAAGTGTAACCGTTTTCAGCAGAGCGGTTGTCGAGGGATTGACTTCACTTGTCTCGTTGACGAGTTCGTATCTCCATTCGGAGAATAGAAACACTCTCTGATGATGCCGACTACAATGTCGGCGAAATGTTTGAGAAGGTACCAAGACCAATGTTTGATACTGGGAATCATGACAACTAATATGGCAGACGACTTCGAACTACTAAGTCGCCCTGACAACAAGACCAAGTTTCGACAACGACGTCAACCCACTTCTAAAAATTCTGCTACAATTTGAGATATGGAAAAATGCCTGGCCCTCCTTGACATTCACATCTGCCCCGTAGTCTCAAAACCCTACATATGAGCGAAATACAGCAATAGACGACGATCTTCCTACTCCTCGGTGACCCGACTAAAAGGAACCATTGTTGGGAAAACTTTCATTTCGTATGGAAGTGCATAAAGAAGACAATTGTAAAGCTTACTGATCCGACCAAAACAGAGGCCATCTTGGTTTTCATATACTCTATGTGGCAGGATTGACGATGAAGCGACGTTACATTTGCTACATCAATCGACTACATTATTCATTTTCCATTTCTTACTATCTCAGATATTGTATTTATTTGTAGTCTTGAAACCCTACAAAAGTAACGTAGTCGATTGCTTCATCGATAATCCCACCACGGAATATTATATGGGAAATTGTCTGACCTTCCTTGCAATTCACACCGGCCCCACGATCCGATGTGGCGTAGTTATTGACGTATCGAGATCATATGCTGCAGTGACATGGTTCGAGTCCCGCTGGAGGTGTTGTTGAGACCTAGACGAGGTGGAAATTGCAGTCCATTCTGGATGAGAATATCTTTTGGGAAAGCAAGGCTATGTGAAATCCAATGGAAGCGTCAGCTGTAATCATATGATTGTGGGAAAATTCAAGCGCCAATCCTTCATCACATTAAACTAAATAGGGTGAATGCATCTCTAATAGTGTGTCTGTTTGGTGTAGGAGTGACGTCGTCATGACAACTGCGCTATCGAATCCCGTTTAGAAGGCTGGCGAGAACTTGGCGACGTCGAAAGCGTATTATAGACAAAGCCAATTGGAATTCATTGGCATCATTTGGTCTAATCAGGTGATTGTGATAAAAATTATCTATCAGTCCTTTGTTCAGCGCATACGTTCTGTGCTGACTAACTTCTTATGCAATGATTTATTTTTAAAAATGGTTAATCTACTCCAATCTAAAAGACTCCTTCCGTCATATCTTATTAAATTATTACATTTGCATACTCGCCTCAGATAAAAGTACCTTTAAAACACTATAATTCCGACGCAATTTTCACTCTGCATGGAAGCTGAGAAGCATAGAATATGATCCATTTTCCAAATTCCCCGTAACCTACCAGAAGTGTGACTTTACCTTTAAGTGAGGTTAAGTGGCTTTATTACTTACAATGCTTGAGTTGGTGGGAAAAATAGTGGCAATAATGTTGTGAATCTTACTCGTTCCCTTCCAATAGCGATATAATATTACGATCCGAAAAAGAAAAAAATGTCGATGAGCTCAACATTTCATAGGAGATGTATGTCAAATGGCTAAAAGGTGAACAAACTTGGCCAGCATAAACTGTTTAAAAATCATAATTCAGCTTTAAACTCGATACTAAAATGCCACACGGAGACAAAATAAAAGTAGCTCACTTGATTTGTTTTTGCCATTTTTGTCGTCATTGCTGTCGTCAGGTTGTGCTTCTCAGCTCGTCGATTCTTGGCGCATACGAAGATTAAAAAACCCACCATGTCTAGCTCACGGTTGAGGCGCAGATGCCATCTCGACTTGTCGTTGCTGTTTAAGCCATTGTTTGACGGTATTCACCCGTCGTGGATCCTCGAACCAAAATGTGGGTTGCCGGTATGGATGAAAGAAAAAGTCCTTGCACGAATGCGAAACGACGTCCGATAGTTTGAGAGCAGAAGAAGATGGACGATTTTTCCTGTGCCATGCTATGGCCTGACGTCAGGATTGGCTGTCCATCTCGGACTTCTCGACATCCAGATTACCCATGGGGAATAATTTGCTTTAGTAAGCTTGTGTGTGTATGTGTGTGTGTGTGTCTGTGTGTGTGTGTGTGGATATTTAGGCTAGCAACCACACGCCGACATGAGGTGATATTAACTGCTTGCGTAATGGGCAGTTTGAGCCTAATACGGAAGACAATTATCACCTCGTTATCCCATCTATAATCGTCCCACGAACCGATTGGATGTGGCCAACGAAAAAGAGGGATAGAGAGAGCTGAACAGCGAATGTACTCTCGTGTCCGGCGATCGGGCCTGAAATGTTTCAGCTCAAAGAGTGAATCCGAACTGAATGGGTTTTCTGGACGAAAAGGCATTTCTGACACAGTCAGATAAAAGGGAAAAGCGACTGTTGCCGCATAGAATTAAAGGCCGCCAGCAACTTATCACCTATTTTGAAAGTTTTCTGTCTAATCTATCTATATGTATCTATCTATATATCCCAACTGATTCAACAATCCTCCATTAATCCACTCTACTCGGCCCAACACAATCCGGAACAGTTGGAAGTTCGGGGCAGTAGAGCCGTTTTTGGGCATTTGTGTTTTTTTTATTAAAAATTCAGGCGGCCTTCAACTTGTACCGTTACGAGGAGGCCACGATTTATGCATGTTCTGCCGCCCTCCTAACAGGATTACTGCAAGAACCAGCCATACATAAGCCAACTGTATCAACAATCTCTTGATTTGGAATGAGTTCAAGTTCTGAGATTGTCTATCATGTGGAAGGATGGACTCTGTGCTCACTCAAGACTGGGGAGGATGCTTCGTGGACGTTGTCAATCTGTAGACAAACGAGTACGGAATGACGGGAAGCGACCGTCGTGGCCAAAAACTTCTTCAGCATACGCTTTTAGAGAAATAAAAATTTCCACATAAAAAAGAATACCACCTCGACTGGAGCCGACAGATGAAGATGCCTCCTGTAGGGCGGTCACGACAATATCCCGTGCATAGTAACTGCGTCAGAAAAAGTTCCATTCTATGCTCAATGCTGTACGGTCCAGTTGGTAGTAGACATTAAATCACCAGCCGGAATGAAATAAAGACAAACCAATCGAAAATCATAATCGTCCTCCATTGCCCCCCATGCATAGAGCTATCGAGATCCTGGTACGCAGTTCCCATAAACCATAAGTTGGTCTCGATACAATCGGTAGATTATGAATCAGAGGTCACATCAGCTTAGGTCGCTCGAGGGGATGTGCAGCGAATGGTTGAAGTTGCCTCAAGGAAATAGGTACAGAAGCTCTCTTTCAGGCTTGATTACATGT